GGGAAGGAAAAATAAATAAGAACCAAGATACTCATGTAATGGTACAAGATCTCAATGATGAATGTAACTGTATTTTATACCTAAAATGTACCAATAAACTTAATGGGGAAATAATAAATAAAATAAAATATCAGAACAAAATAGGTGACATCAATTAACCATCTAAGCTACAGTTTTTTCTATTGAGACATGCATAATTCTGAAGCTTCCTGCTTTTGAAAGCAGCTGAATATTTTCAGCCCAATAGGCGATTCACTATACAGGCCTGATATACATGTACTCTGAAAATTAATATTGTAGACAGACATTCCAGAGAGGACAGCCAGACTTCTTACCCTGTATCTAGTTTATATCTAAATACAGAGCTCTGGCTTTTTGCAGTTACAAACTGCACTTTATGAACTATTCTTTACTCCTATGAATACAGTAGTGCCAAGGAAATCAGACTCATAACTCAGAAACCTTCATTTAAAAGAGCAAGGCAAATCTGTGATATCATTTAGACTTCTAACCTCGAGTTTCTGGTAGTGAGACATTCAGAACTCTGCTGCCTCCTGCTTTTCAAAAGAGCTTAATAGCACATTTTAGGCCAAATGCTAGTCACTATAAAGGTGATAAACATGTTCTCTGAAAAATCAGTATTGTAGATAGGCAGACATTCCAGAAAGCACAGTCAGACTCCATTCCCTTTATCTAGTCTATAACCAAACCTCTAATTGTTTCCAGTAACCAACTGCACTATTCATCCTTTCAATTCTATGAGTAGAGGAGTGTCAAGCAAAATCTGTCTTCAACTTTCATTCAAAGAGTACAATAAATCTGTGATATTAGTCAGACATCTAATGTAGGCTTTCTGCTAGTGATGCATTAAGAAATCTGTTGCCTCCTACCTTTAAATACAGCTAAATATCACTATTTAGACCAAAGGGTTATTCAATATAGAGATGTGATATACATGCACACTAAAAATCAGTTTTCCAGAAAGGAAGACATTACTGAGAGAACAGCCAGATGTCATTCCTGGTATCTAGTCCATCTCCAAACACTGAGAGCTCTAGACATTTGCAGTCACAAACTGCAATTTAAATATTATTCTTCAATTTCCCCCTATGAATAAAGGAGTGCAAAGTAACATCTGAATTTGTAAGCTTTCCTTATTTAATCCTAACCCTAACCTCAACTCTAGCCCTAGTACTAGACCAAGCCCTATTCCTAATCCTAGCCCTAAACCTAAACCTAGGGTTTCACCAAGGAGCCTCCTTTCATCAAGGAGCCTCAGAGAGGCCCTCTTGCTGTTGTTCGCGTTCACTTCTGCTCTGTCTTCTGGAGCTCAGAACAATGTCCTTTATGATCCCTGAAACTCTGCAGTGTGGATCCAGGTAATGGCTCAGCACAGGTCTGGGGCGGGGCGGGGGGGCATGGCGGGGGGTCGTGCTGCTGGTGCCCGAGTGGCTGGCTCTTCTCCTTGTGGCTGGGGGACGGGGGCTGTGCTCCTCTGCCCTTGGGGACATAAGGAATTGTTGACAAAGGTCCCAAGTAGGCTGGTGAGTTTGGAAGATGGAGATTATGAGTTCTCTCATCCTCTGTGGCTTCTCAGTGTAAGACAGATTGTGGTTTTTCCAGTTCAGAACATTGCTGGTGCTGAAAAGCTGGTGATATCTCAAGGGTTGCTGGCCAGGTGCTGGGGGAATTCCCTGATATACATGCTATAGCATCTGAAGGTGAACCAATCATTCAGACTGTGTGACTGATGGGAGACTATGTCTGAAGGGGACCTCTGTTGGCTCTGGTGCGAGTGGGGAGGATCCTGACTGCATCTCAGAAACTAAATGGAGCAGAGGAGGTGAGAAAACAGTGCCCGCCGGACTTGATGTCACAGGTGACGTGACAGAGGCCAGGTTTGGTTGCACTATAATCAGTGGAGAAAAACAGTACTGGGTGGTGTCACCTGAGCAGGGAAAGGTATGGTTCCAGGTGCAAGGTTAGAAACTGGTTGCCATGGGACTGGAGGAGCAGGTGGTGGTGGTGGTGGAAATGCTGAGGCAAGACCTGGCAATGTCACTGGAACTGGAACAGGTGCAATTGCTAGTATGGGGGTGGGCCCTGGCAGCAGAAGTGCCAGGGTGGAGGTAGAGTCAGATAATGCTGGCATAGGACTAGGGGCAGGCACTGGAAGAGATGGGGATGATGGTGCTGTGGCCCAAGGTTGTGTCACATAATGCAGGGGCAAGAATCTGATTCCTCCTGAGAAGGATCCTCTGGGAGGACTAGATAAAGTCTCTTTGCTTGGTGCTGTTCCCAGGAAAGTGGCTGGTGGTTCCTCCCACTATTGTTCCCAGGACTGGTGAGGTTCTTCTGTATGACTAAAATGGCTCCTGGGTTTTCCACCGCACAAACATGAAGCCACAGCAGCGGGTTTAAACAAAAATTAAGCCAGGACTCTACATAAGGGAACTGGTCAGGGTAGCCTCCTTCATTGGTCTCAGTAACTTTGTTTCAAACTTGGCAGTCAATGTCTGTATTTAGAGTCCCCTCTGGCAGCCATTCTGGGCAGTTTTGGCCAGTCAATCTCACAGAAAGTGCACAGCTTCCAGGGTTTCATTTTCACTCTATAATTACCAGAATAGCCCTCCCTAAAAATTTTTAGCATACATTCTAATACCATGGGCTTGGACTGACTTGCACCCATTCTCGCTAGCTCCCTAGTTATGTGCGGTGTTTCCTTGTTCAGAGATGCAAACAGACAAAGAATGGGTGCCCTTCCCCTGAGGGAAGGACCAAAGAAGCGTTTGTCTGGTCACAAGCCTCTCAGCCATTTTAAGGACCATCCAGGCCTGAGGGGATGTCATAAGAGCCTCTCACTGGCCTTTCTTAGATGCATCCAAAGAATCACAGAACAAACTCAATGGGACTCATAGGTCCAAGGGGGATTGTCCCTCTCCTTGCTGTGGAGCCACGTGGATCAAATACTGAGGATAGCATATGGTTGCATTCATTCACACTCACACTCTCCAGGCATTCAGAGGTTAAACATTCCAACCCCCTTCCCAGGGATTCTCTCCTCTCAAGACTAGCAGGCAGAAACTAAAGCAACCAAAACATGCAAGAAATGTTTGTTCACATACAGGGGTGGCCAAGCCCTCCTGCCTGAGCAGGGCAGGATTAAACAAATTAACTAGGGTGTCCCCGGGGGCCTCACCTTATCAGATGACCAGATTGGACTAAACCAGACAAGTGTTGTCACTCCTTCTGGGTCCAGAAAGCGGTAAGCAGTGAGCAGTTTGTCCCAGTCCTCTGAGGCGACTCAGAGAAATCTCTGAGGGTGTGCCATCTCATCGAGGGGCCAGAGAGGTCCCGCCTCCCTCTGCAAGGGTTTAGACTAGGGATTTTAATCAATCAGCATGGTCTATTTTCTTGGCCAACTCAGCAAATGTAAAGGCAAACTTGCAGTTCACAGTGTTACAACTCTTAGTGGTTTACCGGGATCAGGTCAAGAAGAACAAGTTCAAGAACACACCCCGAAATTGGAGGCAAGTGTACAGCTTTATTTTGATGGTGGAACTGATTGGGGATTTCTCCACAAGGTGATCAGCCTGAAGCTGGCAGTGAACAGGGTTTATATGGATCAAGGGAAGAAGGGCAAGGATACAGAGGCAAGGCACTTAACACCGGTTCATTGGTTGAGGAAGTTACATTCAGTTTAAATGACTGGATAGAAAAGTACGCTGGAGTTCACCACATGTGCATATGGTGGGAAAGTAGGGATTACATCATCTTGAGGATACAGACACTGAAAACAAAAAACAATGAAGGAGGACATGTTTTAGGTGTGAGAGGGGGTATGAGCTGGGAGTGGCTCTTTGTCAGTCCACTAGCTGCAGAAAAACTTTTTGCTCAGAGATCGTTTTTCCAGCTCAGGATGACCTGGATATGATGCCAGCAAGGGAAATACATATAAAAAAGACAGCTGCCATTAAGCAATTGCCATTGTGTATCTTCATGGTAGCCCACCCTACACTGTAGGGTGTATTTTTATTTTTGTTTGTTTTTCCTTGGCCCAATCTTGTTCTGTGGAACCCATATTTTTCTTTACTCTTCTGTTTTTTCTTCCCTTTAAAAAATGTGAAACATTGCCACCATTTATGCTTGTTTCATTCAATTCTTTGTTCATGATAGAAAGGACATAGAAATCATCTTTAAAAGGAGACTCCAGCACACCAGAACCCAGCAACAGTAGTTTATATCCTGAATCATTTTCCTTAATTTAGTTGCTCATTTATATTTTCTTTGAGTTTATTGATAATTTTAATAATTGTTTCATTCAGCTGCTTAATTTCTAGTTTCTTCGATCTCATGATTGTCAGGCCTGGCCTAAACAAACAGGCTCATTTTAGCAAACAATAGCAGCTTCTCAGTAAATAGGACAAATGGACTCAAATCAAAGTATACAACCCTCCTGGTGCTGAGAAGTTCAACAACTGTCTACACACCTGAGCAGATTGTCCTTAGGCATTCAAGTCATAAACAGTTCATCCCAGATTCCTTAGCCCATTCAATACCTATATAAGCCTAATTCCTTTCCCAGTTAGCTGCTAATATCTCTCTCTTGGTGTTAGCCCATCCACCCAAGGATGAAATCTTTCCCAGCTAACTGCTAGAATCTCCCTGATTTTAGTCCTTGTCCACTGGAATAAGCTTTTCTTTTTCTCACAACAACAAAAAAGCCTATTTTAATGAGTGGATTCATGTGTGGTGTCTTTACCAGCAATCATTTTACTATCAATTTTTGTTAATTCTTTGGATTTCATCTACATAAATACCTGAGGGATAAGTTTTGGGGGAGTTATGGATTGTTGGAGGATTCTTGTTGCCTTGTTTTCTCATGATTTTTGGTGTGTGTGTGTGTGTGTGTGTGTGTGTGTGTGTGAAGTTGATACACTGATTACAATGGAAGTAGAGATTTAATTCATCACCAAGATATTAGGCAATAAAGGGTATTTTTGTTTTAATCAGAATGTCTTTGGTTACTGAAATTTCACTTTCTTCTCATGCATTACCTTCTTTGGAAATTACTTGATTATATTCTTTGGCTAATTTTTCCTGGAGAAGATTTTCTTCTCTTTATATGATCTTATTAAAGAGATCAATTTCTTATAATAAATATGGCAAATATGGCCCATGGCTAGTGAATCTCAATCTTGCCTATAATGATTTGTGGCTAACATTTAAAATTGTGTTGTCAGAGTACCAATATTTATGATACTTTCTCCTTTTCGGTTGGTTTTCATCATGAAGTAGTTAAACTCATAGAGCATTTTTAAACATCTGCAAGCCAGGAAGATCAGCTTTATGAGACCAATTACTGAGAATAATGATTCATTATCAAGACAGAAAAACAGTAATTATATGTTAAAATACTAATTATATGTTAACAATAGTAAAATCCTTGAAGACCCCCTTATGAAAGCAATGCATTTAAAGCCATTAAAGGTACCAAAACATTTAGGGTATATCTTAGTGATATTCACTTCAAAATTGGACTTCACCCCATCTTCCCAAATTTTGTAATGTCCTGTGTGAGGAATATAATACAAAAGTTTGAGGAATATAATACAAAAAATCAAAAAATCAGTAGGAATAAGGCCCAGAAGAAGGAAGCCTCATGGTCCTGTTAAGGTGCAACATGAAAACACATAAAATACTATTTGTTTAAATTGTTTAGGACTTTCCACAGAAATAAAGGGATTTTCAGTGAATCAGTTCTTTAAAGGCCAAAATTATAATATTTTAATTGAAAGAAGATGGGTATGTATTCACACATATTTCAGACATGATGACTACAATAATATCAAAGCTTAGTTTTATTTTAGGCATTTTACTACTTTTTGATACTTATATGACCATTTAGCAAGGCAGATACAGTTCAAATCAGGAAGTAGAAATTAAAAATTACTTTATCAAAAAAACTACTTGAAATCTTTCATGAATTTTATAGTAAAATTAAAACCATTACCCACCTTCCCATTTGATGAAGACTGTATTTATGATCCTTTAATTTGGAAGTCTCTGAAGACTCTGAACTTGATCATATTATCTTCAGTTGTGCCAAGAAATGTTAAATATATAACTATCTAATCCAATAAATGCTTTTCTTTTTAGTTTGATTTGATGTCATATTTAACATCCCATAAGGTCATAGTTGACTAACGCTTTGCTCCAGCCTGGACACTGACCATTGAGAAATAGACGCCTTTCTGTGCTAGCAGCTGCTGGTGTGTGCCGTGCTCCTCCATCCTGCCGTTCTGAATCACCACGATGACGTCGGCGTTCTGGATGGTGGAGAGGCGGTGCGCGATCACAATGCAGGTGCGGCCTTCTCTGGCTTTGTCAAGGGCTTCCTGGACAACCTGTTCCATAATCACATGAATTAATTCTCTTAATAAAGTTCTCTTCTTTTAATGTCTCCTCCATAACAAGCCTCACAATTTCTCCAATCCATATTTTTAACAGTTTTGTCACTGAAATATAACTGATTTTTAGAAACAAAGGGATGCGTTACACTTGAAGTAAATTCACCCATAGTTTAGAGAGTTCTGAGACCTGTTCTTTAAGTTATAGCAGCAAACAAGAGATCATCCAATTAATTGAAAACATTTCCAAATGTTCTTCACCATATAATATCCCTGAAAGCAACTCCCTAATGCAGCTCCACAGCAAATCAGGAAGCCAGAGCTAAGGCCAAACACAGCTGCCTACTATGTTAGTTGTTTTTCAGTACGTGTTTCCAGAACATATTTATATTCCTTGTGTGGAGTTGGCCAGTCTATGTTTCAAATAGTAGAGTTCTTAACCTGTTTCTAAAAATGATCACCCACATTTATTTGAGGTACTGTACAGCTAGATTTTAACCTTGTCTTACAATCTAAACTCTTCACAGTACTGCTGACAAGATATGTAAGGAGACATGGGGAATATGCCTTCCACATGCAGCCACTTAGAGAAAAAGTGATGCTGAGCTATTCTTTGAAGTGTATGTGCTCATGGAGTGGAAAGAGCTCCCAAACATAATGGGTAATTACTGTAGCATATCTGTATATGTTGTTTTTGTGCTCTGTGTAGACTATTGCAAAGACCCCATCTGTGTCAACCTGTCTCTGTTTTAAAAATACTGGGTGGCCTTTCCCCTCATGTGAGACACCCTGATCCTGGAGAGATAAGAAAAAAGCCTTGAGATTGTTTATGTAAGTCCCCAACCTTAAAGCCATAAAAAGTCCCTTGCTGTTTTGACTGCTACTCGAACTTTTTACTCTGTACAAGGTATATAAAGGAGAAATTGTCTGAACTCGGGGTCAGTCTATAAGGACTCGTTTCCTTAGACTGGCCATTGCCTGGCAATAAACTTCTTTCTTATTTTACCCAACTCTCCTGGTCTCTGTAAGATCATTTCAACTCCTAATTTGCCACAACACTCAAGACTGATTTATATAATCTTAGTTCTAAACAACAGCTATAGAAATTGTTTAAATTCTAGTGAAAGTTCACATACACAATTAACATGACTGACAAAGTTGTGTCCTCTACTAATGGCAAGGAAAATATAAATTTAAGCCCTTTAAGCACAAATGATTCAAGTATGAATGAACCCTATTTAAATTCTTACCTTTTCACTTTCTGTATCCAGAGCTGATGTAGCTTCATCCAAAAGCAAAATACGAGGCTGTCTAACAAGGGCACGGGCAATGGCTATGCGCTGTTTCTGGCCACCAGAGAGCTGAGTTCCTTTGTCTCCCACTTTGGTGTTATATTTCTGCAAATAGAATTCTGTTAGTATAAAAGTCAAACTGATAGTAAAGGTCAAACACACATTTTGCACATAGAAAAGAGATTAATTTTCTGAGAGGACAATTAGAAAATTTAGGTTCAGAAACTAACAATGGATGTGTACAGAGTTAAGCAACACAAAGGCACTATATGGTAGGTTTGCTCTTTATTATGAAAAATAGACATTTGGGCCTTCCACTTGTATACTTTACCATAAATCAGCCTAAATTTTTTAAAGGAAGAACAGTGTTGCAATATTATTGTCTTTGATTTGCTGGATTCATTATGTTCGGGAAAAAAATTGTTAGGAAAGAAATTTTCTTTGAAGCTGTATATCTGCTATATACATGATAATTGAAGCTCCCCATACTTATAACCAACAGGTGATGCTCCCTGCATGATTTTAAAGAAAGTAAAAAGTATTTAGATGTTAGCCTTTTTGTGTTTGTTTTTATGAAGCCATCTTCCAAGATTTAAATCATTTCAATGGATGTTAAGGAACTCCACTTTGATATCTTACTTTTCGTTTTTTGAGTTTTTTTGGTACTGGGGATTGAACTCGGGACCTTGCACTTGAGAGGCAGGCACTGGAACCACTGAGCTAAATCCCCGGCCCGTGATACCTATCTTACTTTTAAAACTGAAGTATGCTTTAAAATTTTAAATAGAGAATTCTCATTAACTATTAAATAGGCTGATAGGGACAGAAACTAAACTATATAGAGGAAAGCAAAAATGAAATGTGATAGCATGTTTATCTAGGCTGAAATTATACTGTGACATTAGGCTCTGATACTTACACCTGGATTTTGCCTATAAAATTTGTATTCTATACAGTATTGGCTATGTTTTATTAGTATATATTTGCAGCACATAAGGATTACATTGATTGGGGGAGTAGGTCATGTACATAATGCAATTTAATTATTAACCCATCTTAATTCCCTTCCTTCATCTCCATCTCTCTTCCTTCTTAGTCCACTTCCCTTTTGCAAAAGTTATATCTCACTGTTTCCTATTATCTATCTTCTTTTTGCTATTTCTCATGTAAGAGAAAGAATGTATTATTTAAGCTTGTGTGTATGATTTACTTCACTTAACGTTATAGTCAAAAGTGCATGCATTTTCCTACAAATGACTCAAATTTATCATTTTACTACTCCACTGTTTATAAATACTGCATTTCCTTTTTTTTAAAACAGGCAAAATTTAATAATATGATTTACCAGAACATGAACCTCAATGGGCAATGAACCAATTAAAAATTTCCAACCAGTAGTAATAAATTACTTTTTTTTTCATTAAGCTTACTGTTACAATTTATGTATACAATAGTTACATTCATCATTGGGATCTTGTACCTTTACACGATGTATCTTGGTTCTTCTTTTTTCCCCCATTCCCCTGCCCCCCTTCACCCCCTCCACCCTTCCCTATTGACAATGTCTGTTTCTATTTTTTTCCTTTTCTCATATTTTTTCTTTTCCCTTCTTTCCTTTCCCCTACCCCTCTCACTTCCCCTACTCCTTTAGACAATTTCTTCCTATTTCACAATATCAATTATACATTTTGATCCTTATTTACACTTTTAGTTTTTCACACCAGAGAAACTATTCATTATTTACACATGCGTGTCCTATTTAGTTCACTAAAGAGTATGGCCTCAATGTGCATCCACTTAGCTATAAATGTCTCTAGTTTTTCATTCTTTATGGCTGAGGTGTAGTACTCCATTTTACAGAAAAACCACATCTTCGTTATCCAATCTCCAGCTGATGGGCATTTGGGCTGTTTCCAAGTTTGTGCTATTACAAACTGTGCTGCTGTAAACATGGGTGAGCATATATCACTGTGGTATGATTCTTTTGGGAAGATACCCAGCAGAGAAATAGCTGGGTCAAATGAGACTTCTAATCCTAGTTGTTTGAGATATCTCCATATTGATTTCCACAGTGGTTGCACCAGTCTGCACTCCCACCAACAATGGAGAAGGGTTCCTTTCTCCCCACAACCCCACGAGCATTTGTTAATGGTTGATTTCTTGATAGCAGCCATTCTTTCTGGGGTGAGGTGGAATCTCAGTGTTGCTTTCATCTGCATCTCTCCAATGACCAGT